CTCTCACAAACTGTCCCGCCATTCAATTAGTTATCTGACACTTGACGATGACTATGAAAGATGTAATATGTTGTTTGTCTGAAGGGAAGAGTGCTTCATGTGTTAGCAAATAAATTCAACTAATACTCTACCGAAATACAATAGACCAGCGGTTTTCAAGTGTGAGGCGCGCCTCCCCGGGGGGGCGCCAGAGAGCTTCAGGGGAGGCGCAGCGTGAGAGGAAAATAACGAGAAACAGTGAAATCTAGCTAGTTAACTTCAGCTAACTTTATGCGAGCGGCAACATGGATCGATTTTTAGCGAAGTTACCTAAAGTGTGAGAGGAGACAGCGTCTGGCAGAAAACGTCACTTGCACACTTTTGGCTGTCTGTGGAGACCGAGTTCCCCCACCTCGTCAAAAAGACTGTAAAAGTGCTCATTCCCTTCACCTCCACCTACCTGTGTGAATGCGGGTTTTCCGCATTGACTTTGATTAAAAGCAAGTAGCGGATCTACCGGGGTGGCATGGGGTGGCAACTGCCACCCTAAAAATAGCCTCGCCACCCCAGTTGGCAGCTTTGTTTTTGAAATAAAAGTTGTGGCTCATCGGACATTTATGAGAGAAAATCCCTAATGTCTGAGTGAAAGTGAATGCAGCACAAGACGCGAGCCTTGTAACCATAGGCTTGTAACCCCTCCCCCGGCCCTGGCGCGAGCTTGGAAATTGATTGTCTGCGATTTCATTTGAACGGGACGGCGCAAAACGAGAAGCATTCGGACCCAATTAGACGGAAGGAATGAGGTATTTGCGGTCTACAATGACAGAGAAGAGACTGTCAAGTTTGGCTGTACTCAGCATTGATTCAAAACGCACTAAAGCTTTGGATCTTAATCAGTTTGTGAGGCGTTTTGCTGAACAAGATGGTAATCGTCGCATTCAGCTGTTATAGGCATGCCAACTTGATGCTCTGCTCACGGATGACTCGATGAGCATAACAAACGGTTAAGATGATGACCTTACGTGTGTAAATATATTTTTTTCTTTGTGGGGGTCTGCCCCCAAAAAACGTTTAAGTCCTGAGAAAGTCAAATAAGACGGTGTGTAAAACTACACTGCCCAGCCAAAAAAAAGTAACCACTTTGATTTAACTAGGCCAGTAGGTAAGGACTTTCCACTGGATAATAATACCCCTGCATTATAGCAACAACAACAACAACAACAATAATAATAATAATAATAATAATAATAATAGCAATAATAATTGGGAGGGGGGGGGCGCAGCTGTTGTGTTCTCTGAGGGGAGGCTCACCTTCCCACACTTTGAAAACCCCTGCAATAGACCAATAAGGGGCCCAAAGTCACTGTAGTACAACTTTTAAGATTGATTAAATAAGGGAACCAGCAAGATGAAGTGTTTTTTTTATTTTAACTATTTCATAAATCCACTCCTTTAACTGATATACTAATATAACCGACCACTTTTTTCTTGAGAATGCATAATCCCCTCAAATCATATTGACGTTCCCTTATACAGCTTTAGATTGTAAAGTAAACACTTTTTTTTTATTTTAACAAAATGTGTCTTTTCCAACTCTGAATTTGAGTGTCTATAATTGAACAATAAATGCAATGGTTGGGTTTTCTGAAGGAGGCTTGTTCTGAATTCTTACAGCTCTGATCAAATGTATTTTGTTTCAAACAAAATGGATTTCTGTTTTATTTGAGCATTTTTGTTGTTTTAGTTGAGAGCACTGCAATGGAGGCCTTCTCTACTGATCAACCTATCACAAGCTCTGGTTCTCGGATGCCCCAATCTCCACGGAGACCAACACAACAGCTGCCCTCTCGAATGAGCATCGCCCTGACATCAGACCTGGGACCACATGCTCAGGTAAGAAGGAAGACTAATCTTTCCTAATAAATAAATATAACTTTCCTCGTAGGGAAAAGAAGAAAACTAAATTTAAATAGAAAACATTGTTACTAAGATATTTAAGTTACTCTTTCAAAAGTTAGTTTTCACAGTATTTATCTTGGGTCATCTCTGTGTAAATCAAAAGCAAAGCTCTGTTAATCACATGTTTAAAATGTAACCTCACAGCGTAACCCTGTCCGTCGTCAGTCAGTGGGAAGAGTGCCTCAGCTCACCCCCGGGGTGCAGGGCACTTCTGTAAGTCCTCTAAAACATCAGAGAATTTACATCCATTACATTATACATGAAACCTTCACTCTGTTCAGTGCGTGTTTTGTATCTAACGCTTTCTTCCATCTCTCCCGTTGCAGCAGCATTTCTTTGTTGATGATGACAGTATAGTGCCCTGCACCCCCACTCTGGTGGTGCCGCACCGCTCAGAAGGACTTGACAAGTAAGTCTCACACACATAGACGGAGACAAGCACGTCACAACGCTCAGGATAAACGCCTGTAATGTTGTTTATTGGTTACAAAACCATTGCTACTTGATCAGATATTATAATTGCAGGGTAATTAGATACTGCATAAATAATGTTGTTGGTTGCCTCTTACACTGTTTCTATTTAAATATGTACTACTTTAGTTTATAATTTGAGCTATAACTAAAACGTAAAATATGTTTTATTTATTTTTGTTAGTTCTTCCCAAGTGGCTGGTGTGCCTCGCTTCAGGTTTGGTTTTTCAGACGACAGCCCTCAGACCAGCTTGTCCTCACACTCTGACCTGGGACAGCTCGCATCACAAGGAGGTACAGCACCACCGCATGCAGAGATACAGATTGTGTACAACAGCATTTAACACCCCAAGGAAACAAAAGAAAATGCAGAATGGAAAAAAAAAACATTTAATTTCTTATTTTAAATATATACATTTAACAGGGGCACATGTACTGTAATTTGTAATTAACAGCTAAAGCAATCAAATGCCGACATGTGGTTTTTTTTCACAGAGCGTAAAACTTTTTTTTCTTGTCTTCAGGTCTTGGGATGTTTGAAAGTCCCTTGTTCCTAGCACCTCATGAAGAGGAGTCGGGTGGACGCAGCGTTCCCACCACACCATTACAAGTTACAGCACCAGGTATCCGCCTCTGTCTGTTCTGTCTCTCTACCGACACACCCTTTTCTTCCACGTACTCAACACAGTTTCCAGGAAGCCGGAATTCACAGATTTAAGAGTGCTAACAAAATCAGCAACTTTATCTTGTGTTTGTGTGCTTCTGTTCCAGTAAATATCTTCTCAGAGGCTCAGTCCGACTCCACTGAGCACGCCTCTCAGTCGGTTCCCATAGTGAGCATGTCCACGCCAGGAGGCGCCGGCTCGGGGGAGGACAGAGACGACGCCCTCCTGGAGCCAGACTCTGATCGGTGAGGCTCACTCCTCTCTGCTGTTTGTCAATCATTTCATTTCTTTTTTTTGACTGCTGCTGGAAATCAGACCTCGCAGTCGGCAAGATTCCCCCTGCCCTTTTATCAGCAAATCTTCTTTTACTGAAAATCTTTGTATCTTTTCAGTGTTAGTATTTAAAAGACGTAAAAGACAAATCTTTCAAAGTTATCCCTTTTTCCCATAGGTAACTGGACATTTTTGGGGGGAAACTAGGACCCCAAACGTTTTTGAAAATTGACAGTCTTTGATAATGCTTGAATCTTTATACATGTTTTGCAAGAATAGGAACTGATATTTTATAACTTGGCTTTCTAACTCAAACAAGTTTCCGTATCTATCGCCCAACTCAACTGTGTGTTGTGTTTATTGCAGGCCCAGTGGAGATCTGTCAGGAGATTCAGTGGTCTCTCAGGGGGATGTGGAGGAGTCAGGTCAGCAGTCTGACAAGGCCAGTCTCCCCTCCACCAGCCAGGAGCCCCCCTCCAGCTCCACAGGTACACTGCAGCCTGCTGACTGGGCCGATTTAAAAATCACTTTATGGATCCTAATGAGTGTTCAGTTCTGATTGCTATGTTGTTTAATTATTCTAGATACAAGGAGTGCTACACCTCGACCCTCCAGACCTGGATCCAGCAGACAGCTGCAGCGCTGGCCCGAGCACCGTGGGGGCCGCATGAAGAGAGGGGGTAACAATGAGAGCACACTCACAGGTTGGGGGGGTGATGGAGCAAATACTGCTTTTGAGCATAAAACTATACCAGGCCCATAGTGGCTTTGGGCTTATTAAGTCCATTGCGTTTTTGCAAGATGCTACATCAGGGAAGAAAAAAGAAATGTCTCAAACTCAAATCAATTATCACAAATGTATTTTAGATATTTGCACATGATTTAATATTGTGAATAACAGCAGCAGAAGAAAATTATGTTTAAAACATGTGTACCACAGGATAATCATGACTGATCAAAGTATTCGTAACAAGATAAGCGGCTGAATCAATGGAGGAATATCCTGTTTCTTCCTGAGAGACACTACAGTTTTAGCACAGTTTTTAATAAGCGTCCTGCAAAGTTGTGTGGCTGTGCGCTCTCCATACTTTGATGTCCAGAAATGTTATTTGGCTGGTCATACCACACTAGTTTTGTTTTTACGATGCCAATTAAGTCTGGTTCCAAGCAGCCGAATGTGATGCTGTTTCACAACATGTTTGTCTTCTCACATCAAAATCAGCAGCCTGTGAGGTGCCAAGGTGGCCTAGGGGCTCAAGGCTGTCCATGAACCACAACCACCATTTTTCTGGTCTGGGACCTTCCTTACACTACATACAACATGTCTCATTTTCATTTTCATCTCTCTCCAGTTTTAGAAAAAACAAATATTATAATGGGCAGCGTTAACCCGTTACTTGTTTATATACGAGAGTTTTATATGAATGTCTCAAACAGAATTACCTTATTTAACGTCAATCAGATATAAAATAACAGATTTCCAGACTGTTACCGACATGAAAAACAAACTAAATATAGTATAATTACTTACTAATGTATTACATTAAAATATTATTGTAATTTGTTGAATATTATTGACTTATTTAAAATGCACATTATTAGCAGTGCAACATTTTTTATGACGGCTATACATATAAATTCACACACAAAGCATTTGTTTCATTCATGGCATTTAATTCATGTTTGTGTGTTAAAATGCATGTTAATGAGAATAACAGATGAAACATTACATGTTATACACGTTTTATACAGCCACTGTACAGAATCTTTACATCAGTATAGCAGGCTTAATTTGAACAAAATATTTTATCGTTACAGGTCAGGGATTTCCTTCTCGGGGTTTACACGGAAGACGATTTGCGAGATGAAGCACTAATCAGAGGACTTCGAGACGGACGTGACTGGAGTAGATGTCATTCCCTTTTAGAAACACATTACACATTTTCCAATCGGCGTGCTCAGATTCTGTATTCAGCTTTGATGGTGTTTACTTGTTCTGAAGCCTGTTGTTTTTAGTTTTGCTTTACTACTTTAAAGTACCTTTTTGTAATCAGTCCATGCTGGAGCGGTGTGGTTTATGAAGAATGTAATAAAACTATAGGAAAACAAAATCTTTCATCAGACTTTCTTTTGGCATTTGAAGAAATCTCTACTCTGAGGTGACTCGTTGGCTGTCGGCGCAGGAATGACGGGACGTGCCCCGCCGATCCTCACGTTGTAGGACGTGGCTGCAAAAGAAACAGAAAGAAACATTAGGCATTTTCGTTAATACATCTTGTACAGGATGGCCTTTTATACCCATCTACATGCCAGTTTCCATTTTAGTCAGCATGAATTTGGCATGAAAAGAATCTCATGCATCTGATAACAGTCTTGAGTTTTAAACAACATTAAATTGGATAGCTTTTGGCCACAGTTGGACATAAATCTTAATAGCTGAAGGTTTCCTTAAATGACAAACGACTAGACTGTAAACCCCTCCTGTCTTGATGCATCACGCAGGCTTAAACTGAGTCTGTTTTTCACTCAGACAGGGATTACAGTATTCTTTGTACAGTATGCATCGCCTTTAAATCTTTTACTGTGGTTACTTTATAACAAACTTGAGCTGTAGGTGAATAGCCACCACCCTCAATGGCCTTCACATCTGCCTAATATCCCACCCCACCCTGACACACACCCAGACACACATGGTCCTCATTAGGCATGTCTGACCTGAATGAGGCTAACAACAAAAAGTCAGACAACAGACTGACGTTTTGTCCACAATTACTACTTAAAAACTACTTCATCCTATTTTATTTAACAGGCTGTGTTAGGAGCTAATCCAAAATAAGGCAAGGAGCCCTGTCTTTACTAATTCATATAAATGTAGGCTTTGTGTGGAACACTGCCTAAAACTATACTATACCTTCTTTCTTACTAGACTGATCCTAGAGCAAATATCCTGAAATAAAACTGAAACTTTACCCTTAATCTGTTTAAAGGAGATATATATTAAAGTATTTACATCTGGAGAAGACATGGTATTTGTATCCATCCCGTTCTGTGCGGCTGGGGACAGACACAGCAGCTGTGATGGTCGAAGGGAAACCTCTCCATGATGTCCGGATGTTGATGGAAGGCCCTAAAAGAGACACTGAAATCAAGAGTTGAGAGGAAAATTAGATGATTTGTTCAATGGTTGCTGCATATTTATGTATTCGTTTTTCCATTCTTCTGCTTAACAGTTGCAGTCCCATAAACATCCCACAGCCAACTTATTTCCACTTGCAAAGTATTTATAAGGTAGACCTCGCTGCACCTTTCACCTCCACAAAGGCATGACTCACTTTTTCAGAGAATGTCATGTGTTGCAACTCAAATAAAACATGTTTACGTGAGCTAAGTAAATCTTGGACAATATTCACCCAACACAAAATCATGTCGCGTACAGATGACAACAATAAGGGAATTGATGACATTGTTAAGAAGAATTTATGTAACACCATTTTGTATAATTCTTAGAATACCTGCTCGTCGGACCACTCTGCTGCGGACTGTGTAAACAGCATTGTGGACTTTCCTGCCACATGTTGGACTGGTGCCCAACTGGTAGGAATATTTCTGCACAGTTCCCCCTGAAAGTAACAGTCAAATTTCAAAATATATTAATTCAAGGTTCAAGGCTTTTATTAGTCATACGTACATAGCTACAGTGTAGTTATGACGATGAAAATCTTAGGTCACAGGCATTACCATTCATTAAGGTCATTAGAAAATGACAGTAACATAAGCAATACATAGACTAGACATATATCAAGTAGCTTGTAACAGCAGTTTTTTTACCTCTTTTGAAGAAGTAAACAGACTCTCTCCTGCTCTGGTACTGAGGGACAGATAGAGCCGCTGTGATTTGGCCACGGAGCCCATCAAAGCCCACTTGAACAACCTTTGGATAATGAGGGTCCAACAAACCATTTTCATATCGCCAGTACTGGGGTCCCTGCAAAAACACAAAAACATTAAACCCCAGGCGAAAAAAAGAGAGCCTAATTAAAATCCTGATATAGTGCAAATAGGCTCATCCATGAAATCTTTAAAATGCAGTCACTGGTGTCAAGATAAGAAAATGTACCTTAAAAATGTATGTTTTGCCCTGGCAGTTGCAGCGGGTGAACGCAGTGTCGATGGGGGAAGGGACCCCCCACACCTGTGTGATGCTCTGAGCCGGACTAGGCACCATGTATCTGTCAACAAGCCAGAAGTAGTGTCCTGGAAAGTAAAATAGCAGATAAGTCATTTGTATCTTAATTGTTGTTACTGTCAACGTTATACACAGAGTACATTCTTTATTCATGTTTAGCTGTACTTTTTTTGTTTTCTTTTCTGCATCAAAAAACGTAAAAGTATTACAAGCTTTTATATAATGTTCAGATGGCAGACCCTCACCTCTGAAAACGACCATGGTGCCGTTCCTCAGTGTAGTGACTGCGCCAACCGGACGTCCGCTGCACAGATTTGTATCATTGCTGTCATCTGAGAAAAAGGACAAACTATGTGAGAATAAACATCTCTTTGGATAAAAAAAGCAATAATACAAAGAATTGTGCAATAACTGAGTTTACTAGGTGCTAAATATATCGTGTTGTGCTCCAGGAGCTCTGGGCACTTTAAAGTATCCGAGCTTGCCAATTTCAAAAGAGTGTTTGATTAATTTGCAGAGTAGGTTAACAACCACCTCCGTCACTTAATATAATGTTGCCCTGCTTTGAAGCATGCTTTATTCACCCAGAGGGATAATGTCAAAACAACCAAGCTCATAAAGCTGGCTGAGATCAGTAAAAGAAATACCCAGAATATAGAGGCTGCAGAGCCTATGGAACAACATTTCAATACTTACAGTGAAAATTCTCTTCTCAGAGTCACATAAACCATCTTTAAGGCAATTTGTTTTTCTTGGGTGTTTTGTTGAGAATGTGAACCAGAAATAAGAAAGGTTTCTAACCTGCTTGGTAGTCTTTAGGATTGTCTATGGTGAGGGTTTGCGTGGGGATCAGAGGCTTAGTCTCAGAATTGGAGCTGGGTTTAGGTGTCGTTGGTTTAGTTTGTGATGGCTTGTTTGGAGCTGGTTTGTCTTGGGGTTTCGGGGTGGCTTCAAGTGGAGTGTTTTTGGTGGAGTCTGGGGTGACATCAAGCTGATCGGCAGTAGGGTCTGGGGTAGCATTAGGAAGATCGGCAGTAGGGTCTGGGGTAGCATTAGGAAGATCGGCAGTAGGGTCTGGGGTAGCATTAGGAAGATCGGCATTAGGGTCTGGGGTGATATTAAGCTGATCGGCAGTGGGGTCTGGGGTTACATTAAGTTGATCGGCAGTTGGGTCTGGGGTGACAACAAGCTGATCGGCAGTGGGGTCTGGGGTTACATTAAGTTGATCGGCAGTTGGGTCTGGGGTGACAACAAGCTGATCGGCAGTGGGGTCTGGGGTTACATTAAGTTGATCGGCAGTTGGGTCTGGGGTGACATCAAGCTGATCGGCAGTAGGGTCTGGGGTTACATTAAGCTGATCGGCAATAGGGTCTGGGGTGACATCAAGCTGATCGGCAGTAGGGTCTGGGGTAGCATTAGGAAGATCGGCAGTAGGGTCTGGGGTAGCATTAGGAAGATCGGCATTAGGGTCTGGGGTGATATTAAGCTGATCGGCAGTGGGGTCTGGGGTTACATTAAGTTGATCGGCAGTTGGGTCTGGGGTAGAATTAGGAAGATCGGCATTAGGATCTGGGGTAGCATTAGGAAGATCGGCATTAGGGTCAGGGGTAGCATTAGGAAGATCGGCATTAGGGTCAGGGGTAGCATTAGGAAGATCGGCATTAGGGTCAGGGGTAGCATTAGGAAGATCTGCAGTGGGGTCTGGGGTGACATTAGGCAGATCGTCAGTAGGGTCTGGGGTAGCATTAGGAAGATCGGCATTAGGGTCAGGGGTAGCATTAGGAAGATCGGCATTAGGGTCAGGGGTAGCATTAGGAAGATCTGCAGTGGGGTCTGGGGTGACATTAGGCAGATCGTCAGTAGGGTCTGGGGTAACATCAAGCAGATCAGCAGTGGGGTCTGGGGTAACATCAAGCTGATTGACAGTAGGGTCTGGGGTAACATCAAGCGGATCAGCAGGGTCTGGATCCTGGGTGGGTTCAGTAGATATTTGATCCAACACGCCAGCTGTGGACAACTCATAGCCGCTGGTGCTCTGTGGGACTGGACCTGCCTCCGGGTCCTCAACTCCATTGTTGGAAAACTCATCAGTGGGAAAAATCTGGTTGTACATATCTAGAGGAATGTGGGAGAATGGCACACCTGGATGTCATACTAGTGAAAGTTTACTGGTGGAAAAATAGATAGATTTATTACATCATTGCTCACCATCACCAAGATCATCTTGTGGATTTGATGTTGGACTGACCAGTGGAATAGAATTGTCATCTGTGGACAAATGAGGCAACATTAAATATAAATGTCGTTGTTTGCCATTGCTGACACAGTCATTTAATCCTCACTACCTATATTTTCCCTGCATTCGTTTTTTTGAACATCACTGACTGAATGTCTTGAAATTCCAGACGGAAATCTCTCAATGGATGCAAGAGTATCTCCACCCACCAATCAATTCCAACGAACCCCTGAATTAAAACCTGAAGAAAATGTTCTGTGATCCTTTCTTGGATTCATTTTGTGCTTTCCTCTCTTGTGACTGAGCCTGTGCCCGTTACCCTCCTACACACTCTCATGACCACACTGCTTCCTTGTGTTTCTTTTGGCCCCTGCAGCTTGTGCTCTTGGCTTGTTCTGGTGAGACTTGGCCCTCAAAGCAAACCACAGCAACAGAGCCACAGTGTGGCAGTCCAGCGTAAACATCTTCCTGCCGTCTTCCTGACATATGCCTTTTAAATTCCACTGAGTTCAGCTTATAATCATTATCATATTTAAGCAATCTTAAACAAATAGCTTTATGATTATGGGTTATTTATAAAGTTAATTTCCACAAGTCACCTGCATGGTTTTCCTCACTGAATGTAGAAGGATCACTTGCATCATTCAATGTCGGCTCTGTGAGAAAATGTATAAAGGTTAAAAAAAAAAAGTGAACCCTGTAATAAACAGTTTTCTCAATCCTTAATGACAAAGATTCGCCGTACTGCCAAGTTGAAAATACCTTTTGGCTTGTTATCATTTATGCTATCACATGAATTAGCCTTCACTGGTGCTGATGTACTGGCTGCTCCACTGATTTTCTCTGTGGTAATTATCCAAAACAGAAAATAATGTCAAATGCATCGGTGCAGATTACTGCATGCATTGCATGCTATTTCACATGCTGGTGGACATGCCATTCAACATTAATCCTGGCTTCTATGCGCTTCATGCAGATGTACTAATCTCAAATGAAAATGATTGCATGACAACTGAAAAAAAGGTGAGGGCTACCTTTACACGGAGGAACTATAATAATAATGTTACTGAGTGTGAAACTGTAAAACTAAAAAAAAGTCACGATTAACAAAAAAATAACACACAAGCACACACAAACACACACACAATCATGCTGACAAGGCTTACCGTCTGCATCACAGTGCAGATTACGATCAGGACAACACTGTTTGAATTTAACACAGTCAGAGTCGCAGCTACACAGACGGCCTCTTTTGAAGCCTTCGCCACACCGTCCTTTACAGGAGCTTTCTGTAGCACACAAACACAACAGACTTGTACAAAGAGACTACATATGCTGATTATATTAGAATTTTGGTTTTAGCAAACTTGGGGAATAGGTAATACATTTTCATGAAAACCTTTTCAGTAACAAAAATCTTTATCAAAGACTGTACAATGAAACCAGAGTAGTTTTTGGTATTTATATATGTAAATCAGAAGGAAAAGCTCTCACTTGTGGTGCATTGGGATTCATAGTCTCTGCAGCACTCTTCATACTCCAGGCAGCCATAATCACACTGGCACATGTTACCCCTGTAGTACTCAGCACCACAGCGACCTTTACAGCTTGCTGTTTATGAGAAAGAGCACATGGAAAAAGAAAAGAATATCAGAGGGACAATAAGGCATCTGTGCCTTTAAAGATTTTCATCAACTTCGGTCTAATAATGTCTGACGACATCTGTGTAAATAATAAAGCTGTGCCAGAAATTGATTTTTGAATAGGTGACAAATAAAAACAGTTTGACCCCTCTCTAGAAAATAATTAATAACAAAGTAAACATGAACAAGTACAACATCAGAAAACACACAGTTAATTTCAGGAAAGTGCTTCATAAAAGCACATTTCTTTCAATCAAAAACTTCAAATCATGTGAATGATACATTTCAGTTAAAGGTTTCACGATGCAAAACAAATGTCACAGTAACTGTACTCACTCTGAGCTGCGCCAAATGTCAAAGCACATGCCAGCAGAGTAACAGCACAAAGTACAGGAGAAGACATCCTTCAGTAAATCTGAAACCAAGCATAAGACACATAAAGAATAAATAAATCAGAGTGTATTCACGCTCATGACTGAAAATCCTGAATGAAGGGAGAGGTAACCTACCTTGTGTGAGCCTCTGTCAGAGTCCTGCTGGAGGTTGGACTCGGCTGCTTTTAAAAGGCTGAGAGGGGCCGGCTGACTTCCTGTTAATTGGCGGATCCGGTCTAATTAAAAGTGTGATGATCTCACAGGCTGTAGGGAGGATCCTCCACTGCAGACCAGACTATAGGTTCAGACATCATGAATCCACACAAACAGCTGGAAGCACATCAACACACATCTGTGCCAGACAGACCTATGACTCCACACACTTCTGAGCAACATGAGGGAAAAAAACGGTTTCCAGTCACAAATTGGTAAACTGGACATTTTCACAGACTTGGCTTGTGAAATCAATATCATATTATAAGTCAAGTAATGACGACGATCAGCAGGGTTATTGTCTTTAAAAAAAGAAAAGTAAAAAAAAAGTAGTATTTTCTTGAATAGAAGTAGCAATACCACACTACTTCAAAAACAAGCAAACAGTAAAGGTCTATCACTAAAGAACATATGAACCACTTCTAAATAAAGTTGTTTTTCTCTATATATAACGTTAATGTTATGGCTTATGAAGTAGAACTAATCTTTTCAGCTTTATATGCTTTGAACAGTTTCAATAAAGTGTGTGTTATTTATAAATCCATGATATGTTTTTTTAAATGTTAAATTCTAACTATTAAATAAATATTGTTAAGTTAAAAAAATGCACTTTAGATGTGGCAGAGTAGTAGTTTAAAGTAGCAAAATATGTAAATAAGTAAAGCACTTGTTGTTCTCAAGCCCAATACTTCAAAAAGTATCTTGGTTATTTTTCACTGCTGAAAGGGGCATTGAGTCTAATATAGCACAATTTGGGGCTTTTACTCTATATATATTTTAAATAAATACAAATATTCCTACATGGTTTATAGTCAATTATTTTACATGAACCAAAGCATCCTGGTTAATGTTGACTTAATGCAGTTACCCTCTAACAGTATGACCACAATTACCTTACAGTCTGTATGATTACCTTATTTATCCCTGAAAATCTATGTATCGAATATTTCACTTAAATTTCACTAGACTTGTTAACTGTGTTTTGCTCTAATGTGAACAGATTTACAGTTTTTCTTAGTTCTTCTCTCGTTTGTTTTCATTACAGGGTGACAACCAAAGACTGTTATATATAAAGTGACAACAAACCCACTTACTGTACAAGACTGAACACCATGTTGATGTATTTTTATAATTAAGGGCTTGTTCACTGTGGGTATTCTGTGGTTGGAAGTGCTGATGCCTGTGGTATTTTCCTATCATGTCACGGTCCAATTAGAGGAAAAGCGCTCATTAGTGCACTTGTGTCAAGACAATAATGATAACACATTCTGGTGTAAAGGACCGTGCCAACCAAACAGGCAAACACAGACACCACGGGTCAACAATTCCACCACTACAGTACCATAGAAATAGGAAGTATCAAGCCCTTGACAAGTTGGATTAAAAACACCGGCCCAGATACAACTCTGCCACTGAGGAGTTGACTGGGTCAAGTTGAAGGTTTAGAAAGTATGATCTGTACGCCCCCTTGTGTTTAAAGTTGTCTTCGTTTTATTTCTGCTCTGCAATGGTTTGACAGCTAACTGCACATGTTCACATTACAAAACGTTTTTGGAAGCTGTCGTCTTTTAGACTATTGTCTCTTTGGTCTCCTGCACCTATTCTGGACTTCAGTGTGTGAAGAAACTGTACTCTAGACAATTTAAAAGTGAATCTGCTGTGAGGGTGACATGGCAGGCTGAAGATTACAGAAATGAACTTGGGGTCCATTTTAATGCGGAGTGTATTATCTTTTTTTTTAATTCTTAATATTTATCCAACATATATAAACACCATATGTTCTGCCACTTTATCTCTCATCATATTTCAGTTTATTTTTCTAAATCTGAGTCTTATTTAAAATGTTTGGGTAATATAATAGCTACTTGCTTATTGATGTATTGATCTGTCCTGTCACTTTTGTTGCACTAGAATCATTTTGTGAGCTAATGTGTACAAACATTTTGCTAATATTCAATTTTTGCATTATACTGTGAGTCTCTAAAAGCTCTATTAACGTATTACTTAACCAGACGATTTCCAGTATAGTGAAGCACTGGAGAAATTCAGTCTAATGAGGCAAGAATAGCAGCACACAGAGTATTCCGCTTGAATATGGATTCTAAACAGGGCATACACTAATAGTCCAGCAGCAAGTCCTCAAAAAAGGCTTTAATACTAAGTTAGATATATGGAATGTTATGGATTTCTGGCAATCATGCATGAAATACAAAATGATCATTAAATAATATTAGTTCATAGACATGAGCTGCAGTATTCCTGTTCACCTCCCTGCAGGCCAGCGGACACCTGACAGAGAGGGAAGGTCAGCAAAGCACTGATTATCACTGAGATGAGGCACAAAGCACTGATTATCACAAATAGAGGTCCAACACACTGGATCTCCTGGGGAGGGGAGAGGAGCCCTGAGGGGAGAGCCAGCTTCTTTTTCTGGATCCAAAACTGTGTGCTTTGTCAGCAGTGGAGGTCGTTTTCAGTGTTGGCTGCATCCGTCAGGCTGTTCAGAGCTGCATGAGAGGCAGAAACACGGAGAAATACAGGAGAAGAGGTGATGCACAGCATGTGGTTGTAAACATTGGGGTTCATTCAGTAGATTCATTTTGCTCTTGCCTTCTTCCAAAATGAAAAGAGACTTGGTAACTTCCTGGCTGCGTTTTTGGCAAAGTTATTTAAAAAAGGAAATAACACAACAATCTTACACTTCTATTATCAAAGGACAAGCACAAAGCAACTCTTTTTCAGTTTGACTTCTGTTCAGTTTAATATAAATATGTACTTACTATGCTTGATTAGGCAGGCTAAAGAAGACTAAGTTATTAGACACACATCTATGAAATGATCCAGCCATTGAAAGCCTTTCATCTGACATCTGCAAAATATAGATAAAATAATGAAAATGCTTGTCACAGAAATTCAAGCAGAGTATTGATGTGATGAATAGAACATGATCACAAAGGACCTTTAGAGGGAGACAAATGAGAGCATATCAGCGGCTGTTTGAAGCAACACTCACACAGGACAAGAATAGGAGCACCAACAGGTGACAGGCACTAATGAGACATAATTAAATCCGACAGCTCATTTCATTTTATTTAGAAGATTTTTCCATGGATTAAAAGCTTATTATGCTTTTTATATTTGTTAGCAAGGGAACACTGCCACTAGACCGTTTACAGTAAGATATAGTTTGTATATAACCACATAGCTTGTATTTTACACTCTTGTATACACTTAATATATGGATGAATAATACTATACAGGATTCAGATTTCTTATGTTGCCTTGTGACTGTGGTAAAGTGTTTCCTTCCTGTGAAGTGATGATAATCTAATCTTACTAAACAGGAAATGTATTCTAACCTTTCTGTCTTTCACATTATGATCTGTTGCACCCTGTCTTGATTTTAATATTGCATCAGTTAGCATCACATCAAGCATCATCTCCTCCAGCAGAGGCCTCTCACTGCTCACTTCTTTGATGTGTAAAAACACCTGAAAGGACACGAGAAGCTGAAGCAGCGTGTCATAGCATCTGTGCGTGTCTCTGTGTGAACCAGCTGCTGAGATAAAAAATGACCACATATATACAATGACTAGTGAGCTGCAACCTCAGTCTAAAAATACTTAATCTGTGAATTCTCAGCATCAGCAACTGTATCTAAATCCAGTCCCTTCCCTTGATGCTGGTTTAACCAAATACAACAATTTGTTCATACTTTCACACAAACGTTTGCTATTTTTCTTGAATTATTCAATTATTTTTGCATTAATCAATTAGTCCTTACCCAATTATAATGATACTTTACTTCCACGGCACATGATGATGCACAGATGTTTAAATAACTTTACTGACCCGTTTCCTCGTAAGGACCCATAATCAATCTTCAGTTGTTTTCATAATTTAAGGCCAAACATTTACCTGATTAAATCTGCAGCAGTGTATAAGGGCGATATACAACTTTGTACTGACTAATTTAGGACTGACCCAAAACAGACTCTGTTGAGAGTTTCTGTCCTATATGGGAAACACCAGGATTGCATTTCTCGTTCTTATCATCCACAGCAGAGTATCTTTACTTTTGCACCATATATGTGACAAGAAAGAGATAACTGTCTTCCTATCAATCAACATGCACCTGACCAGTGTTGCTCCCTAGCCTCGTGCTTGACGACTGGCAGCATCTCACCCATCTTATCTGATTTTGATAAGGAGTTTGACTTGGAGTTAAATGTATACATTTATTCATGGCCATCAAGAAGGATGCTTATTTCCTAGTTAGAAACACTTTCTTGTATTCCCTATCAACCCACAACTCATTACCTGTACCAAGATTATTCTGACTGACAGTGACATTATAAGAGAACTCAAAATTGCAGCTTTGTGGTAAAGTTTTAAGGGCCATGTAGTAAGGAACATGTATTTGTTATCACACTGGTATAGTGGGCCCTGACGCTTTAAGAGTGACTAAAGGACAAGCCTATTCCAAAGACACAAAACAATTGAACAAAGAGATTGTGTTGTGGTTATAAATTACACCTGTTGTGACTGTATTCAAAAGGCCATGTACATACACACCTTTCTGTATTGGTGGTAAAAGAAACAGGGTATATTTAGTGTCCCAAGAGTCCTGAATGTATAGATGTGCAGAAGTCAATATGATTGATAAGGACTGATTGAGGAGAAACAGCTCTGTTCCTTAAATTCGCCTGAGGCTTGCCTTTTTTTTAACCCCTAAAACCACACTTAGTGATTACAAATTCATGAGGTTCAGCCAACCATTGTTTAAACTTCAAGTGGACATCTTAGAGTTTGCAACCAGATCTGATATACCTGGCTACATGTAGGCCTATGGGAAATGTACAGTATGTTCCTTTAGTCTACTTTATGCACACAGAAGGCACACATGTGTTTTTGGTTTGCATGTTTCAAATCTTTTATTGACAAAGGTCAAATAAAACACATACTATCACATCCGGAGAGGATACGTTTTAAAAAACAC